GTCTTTAAACGTAATGAATGTTTATTCCAATGAGTGCTTCAGGTTCACATTTCACTTGCAGTCAGCCCACTCTTTTTTTTTTTTCCTTTTAATCCAGCTGTTTCAGTTGAAAGCCAACTATGTCCTCAGAAATCAGTTCAGAACTATCCCAGCCCATCAGGGAACCTGGATGTCAGCTGTTTCCCAAAGTGAAGCTGATAAAAGCATGGTTGTGGACTCTGCTGTGTGATTTCTGAGGAGGATTCCCTCTTTTTCCAGTGTTGACGGCTGTTTTAGAGATCCATTAGTGCAGTTGCAGCTGCTATTCCTTTCCTGCAGAGGCTGATTATTTGACGCTTTTTCCAAATTTCCCTGCTTTCTGCACCCAGTGCTCCTTTATATATGTCGCTAGAACGACTAGCGCTAGAGTATAGCACTGCTGACGGTGGTCTGCGTTGTGTGAAAGCAGAGTTTTGGTTCACAGAAGGATACTTGCAACTCGGTGTATGTGATTTTTTTTTTTTTTTTCAAATACTCATCAATATATGGATTTGGCACAAAAACTGATTCCAAGAAGTCTGGGGCAAAGATCATACTAAGAGGATTTTTTTCTCATTTGCAAGTTACTCTCATTAAGCTGTCTCTTCCTCCCTGCCCCCATAATGTTCTAATGAGCACCATGCAGAAATACATCCCCTCCTTTACCTTGCACTGTTAGGATTTTGACAGAAATTCAGTGCTCCTTTTGTTAGCTCAACCTTTAATGTTTGAAGAGGGTGAACTCTCCCACTGCCTGTTTCATGGGCACAGGATAATTGATTTCGGTGTCACTCCATCTTAACCAAAAAAAACCCAACCAAACAAAAAAACACGTCAATACAGCCCGAATCCCCAACATTGTTCTATATGAAGTCCGTGGCAGGAATGAGTGGAGACAGAGAAGATACTGGGGAAGATACTGCCCTCCTAGTCTGCCTATAACCGAGTGATTTGAAATGTCAGTGCTTTCCTCTTCCGTATAAAGCTCCAGCCCTTCATCCACCTCCTGTCAATGTAACATATTCTTCCTTTGATTGGAAAGTATCCTGGTGAGGATTTCTAGGATGGAGGAGGGGGCTGCTACTAACACAGTGGTAAACCTGACCTTCTGTATGTGCCTGCGTCCGCTTTCCCCAAAGCGGTGCATAAATTAACATTCTGGCAATAATACTGAGCCTGTCTAATTTTCTGTTTTGACTAGAAACATTGAGAAAATGTCATGATATTTTTTTTCATCTTTGTCTA